ATAAAAAGTGAATGTTGTCAGTGTAGTGAAATCGGATGCAACATTAATAAGGAAGTATACACTTAAACCGTTACAATTATGTTTATAGTCCCCATCTTGTTTTAAATACTCACAATAAAATTTAAAAACACACAAAAAACACACAAACGTCCCCAAAACATTAATTTCGATTTCAATTTCCCTAGTTGAAACTAACTTATTTTAGGAAATTGATATATTTGAGAAGATATCCTGATTACATGGTAACCATCCATGATCCCCGATTACTCCTAGGTTTTGTATATGAAGCAAATGGTTCTTAAATCTCTTTTTAATTAGTAAAATTGACAAAAGATGATACGGTACATCATGATCAAAAAGATAATTAAAAATTTTTGATGCATTAAAAACAAAATTACTATTCTTGGTCTTGGACATTGACAATTTAGGATATAGAAGTCTGCATGATCTACTTGACTTGCTAAACCGGTGATATACATCAACAGGAATTTGTTTTTTAAAAAGTCTCATTGCAATACATCCAGTAAAGTATGTAAATAAGTTGAACAAGGTCAACAATTTCAAACTAAAGAACATTGGTTTCGTATGTTGAAACTTGTGATCAATCTTTATCGTTTTTCTACTCACAATACGAATACATTTTTTCTGCAATACAAACAGTTTTTGCAGCAAAGGATGGTGAAAAACAGCACCCCACAGTGGTATACAATACATTAAATGTGGTTGAACAAGTGAAATATATACTTGTCTTAACACTTTGGCTGGTACTATAGAACTTATGGAGTAAAGTGATCCGCACGATTTTGAAACTTGCGTTATTACATTGGTAATATGATCATTCACGTTAAATTAGAATTAATAATGACTCCCAAAAAATTTACACTTATTCACTTGATTAAACTGGTTGTTAAGTATTCCAACAAACTTTTGATTCTTAGGAACTTTACTACTTCCGAATTCCATAAAACAGCATTTTTCAAAATTAATGATTAACCTATTTAAGCAGCAATAGTCGTGAATCTTTGATAATACCTCATTAGCATTTTTGTAGAGTAAATTTCGGTCTTTATTTTGAAGAAAAAGGTTTAAATCATCTGCAAAGAGGATAAATTTAGCTAACTCACAAATATTTGCCAAATCATTGATAAAAATAATGAAGAGCAGGGGGCCTAACACTGACCCCTGTGGAATACCACAGGTTATTTTCAAGAGACAACTTTCGAATCCCCCATAGCTAACATACTGAAACCGATCTGATAAATAACTGTTTAATAATTTAATGACATTTCCTCGAATACCATAGTTCTCCAGCTTTTCTAACAAGATATTATGCCGCACTGTATCGAAAGCTTTGGAAAAATCTATAAATATACCTAATGTAAAATTCTTATTATCGATAGCATCATGAAGATTTTCTACTGCTGAAACAAGTGCATGAAAGGTTGAGTGCTTACTGCGGAAACCAAACTGATTATCACAGAAAAGATTGTGCTTATTAAAGAAATCAGATACGTTTTTATGTATTAACTTCTCGAAAATCTTAGCAAAAACAGGTAACATTGAAATAGGACGATAATTGCTTATATCAGAAATAGATCCTTTATTCTTATACAAAGGAATTATTTTTGCTGCTTTTAATTCTTTCGGAAAATAACCTTCATTTGCACATTTATTAAAAATATCAGCCAGTAAAGGACTTAAAGTGGTAGCTAAAAGTTTGAGGACCCTAGGAGAATAATACGTACCCTTGCTATTATTAAGCTTACTTATAATATTATTTATTTCTTCACTTGAAAAATTAATATCCGATAGCTCGCTTATGTTCCTCTCAGGCATATATTTATTAAAATCTGTTAAATCCGCGTTAGCATTTTCACCATACGTTTTTAGTAAAAGATCATTAGCAATATTAACAAAATAATAATTAAAATTATGCGCTGCATCTTGATTAGGAAAAACTAGTAATCTGTTTGATCTCTTCCTACCTGGTAAACCGTTTATCAGTTTCCAAGTCTTTTTCAAATCATGTTGATTTGCTTTAAAACATTTATCAAAATACTCAAATTTTTCTTTACTTCTAATAGCATCAAACACTCGTTTGTAATCAACATATTTGTTCCAATTAACTCTAGTTTTATTCATAACCCAAATATCATAGAGTTTGTTTTTAGTGTCACTACTCTTGGCCACTCCTATTGAAATCCAATCAGAGCGAAGAAGAGAATTATTACCACTAGACTTCTGACTTTTAATAAACCACTTATCATACAGAGTTTTAAAATTTCTGTCAAAAAAGGAATACATATTTTCGGCAGAATCACTTTCAAGATCAAATTTTAATAATTTAAAATCATTCAAAAACCCTTGTAATAAAAAGTCATTAATATTTACTTTATTTCTATTTCTACACTTTTCGTTAGGATCAAAATTATAGTCCAAAACTACGAATGTAGGAAGGTGACGACTTATATTACATCGTATAAGGCCGTTACAAATTATGTTAGATATATTGTTAGTAAGTATATGATCAATACATGTGCCATTTAAGCCTCCAAAATGAGTAGCACGTGAGATAATTGGTAAAAAGTTATTGCTAAACATGCAGTCTAAATATCTCCTAACAACACTAGAATTGGAGTTATATAGATTTACATTAAAGTCACCAAGAATATAGCTTTTGTGTCCCTTAAATGTGTTCAATTTACTTAAGATACTGCCAAACATATCGATAAATGAATCAAAGTTTCCACTTGGTGATCTATAACAATTAACAACTAGTAACTTTTCAGATTTAACTGTTATTTCAACACAAAGTGATTCAAAATCAACGGTAGAATAACAAAGCTCAAATTTTTGATTAATATTATTAAATTTGTCACGCAAAAACGTTACCAAACCAGAACCTTTGTGTTTAAGCTTTCCATCCTCCTTCAATAATCGATTAAGTACAAATTTATTATAACCCGGTATGTAAAATGGTTGTGACTCATGTTCTGTTACATTAGTTTCACAAAGGAAATATCCATCAGCTTTGAAACGTCCATGGTGCACTAAAAAGCAGTCAAAATTTGATCTGAATCCATCAATATTCAAACTTAATAACGATAATCCATTGTCGTTCATTTTTTCTTCAAAATCATCTAACTTATAATAGACGCACTGACGCAGTATCTGGCTGCAATCTTGTAAATTCTCGCTAAGAGTTTCAACATCCGGGATAAAATCTATCATTTCATTGTAATAATATTCAAAAGGAGCAAAGAACGGTTGTTCGGAATAAAAATCAGTTTCAATATATTCAACAGTACTGGTAGTAGCAGTGTTTAAGTCAAGTAAGGGTAAGGGCATACATGACGAACAAATATTAGACTTAACACAGTTCTTGTGCAACATTTTGAAACATTGTTTACACTGTGCAATCTTTTCATTAAATATATCAATATTTGTTAAACATGTCACACACTTATAATACTCAATATAATCGTCATAGCATATTTTACAATACCATACAAATTGCTGAAGTATAAATATGGTACTATTGTCTAGCTTTAAACAAGATCCATGATATATGTCTTTACAGTTGTTGCAACGTAGAATGAATTGGTGAAAGTACAAAATTTTATGACAGAAGACGCAATGCTTACGGTCAGAGGGAATGAGGATGTTGGGAAGGGTCATGTTTGAAACTCATCCATAACTCTCTGTTAGAAATATTAAAATCTGAAAAATAGTTGTATTAGAATTATTCATCTCACGGTATGAATTCAGTATTGTTCAAAAAGGGGCTCTCACAAAACAAAAACTCTTTAGGTTCAAAAGTAGGCACACAAATCAACAAATCAGCAGTATTCCTAATCAGCTTAGGATTACCGTTAGCATTCATTCTCAATAAAACATTCCCATTCTTGTAGTCAACCCAACAAGAGTTTAGTCCACCAAATCTGACAGCATCGTTGACCTGCCCTAATAATGCCGCTCGTTTATATGTTATATTGGGCTGTACCCCGACACCCTTTTCGGGGTTCTCAAACAGCAATTTCTTTTTATCTGGGGAAATGTTTTTAGTGCTTTTCCTATTTCTAAACACTTTCTGTGCTGTTGATCTATCTTTGAAGCGAGCAATAAACCTAGGGGCTTTACCCTTCTTGCCCTTCAAGGGATGAGCGGCTACAAGGTCTTCCTTAACAATGTCCACACCTAACTGTTCACACAACAAGACCACTTGGTCCTCACAACTATTGCTATCATTAACTAGCAAATTGGTAAAACAAACTTTTTCCCTACGTGAGTATTGATCTAAATTATCTAGTTCCACTTCTAGTTTGCAAATCGCATCCGCTTGACGATCGACAACTTTGCTGAGCTTTGAGTTAACGTGTCGAAGTTCCACGAAGTCGTCCAACAATTTAGCATGATCACTACGAGCTATACTAAGTTCGGTTTCTAGATGTTGCATAAATTTCCATAACTCTTGAACTGATCTTAGTTCTGACTCACCGTTGGAAAAGTGAGGTAGCTGTGGCTGTTGTAGTTGTTGACGTGGCATCTGATCGTGCTGATAACCGTTGCCAAACTGAGAAGTCACGGGACAGTAGGAATTACGGGAAGCCTTGCTCTGTCGGCGATCCGAGTTTTGTTGAGAATTGCCATGATGAGACATGTCTTCAAATTTCAATAAACAGGCAGAGCAAGATTTTTAAAACGAATTGAAAGTAGTGATAAGAGATCTGAATTGAAAGTAGTGATAAGAGATCTGAAAGTAGTGATAAGAGATCTGAAAGTAGTGATAAGAGATCCCCATTCTAGCCCCACTCTAACCCCACTCTAACCCCACTCTACCCCCACTCTAACCCTCCTCTACCCCCACTATAACCCCACTCTAGCCCCACTCTAACCCCACTCTAACCCCACTCTACCCCCACTATAACCCAACTCTACCCCCACTCTAACCCTCCTCTACCCCCACTATAACCCCACTCTAACCCCACTCTACCCCTCAGTACCACAACCGGTTTAAGCAGTCTCAGGATTCCCTGACTGTAGACCAGTTGCCAGATGATGTCATGGGGACGGATACAATGCTAATTCAGTGCAAGACGGAACCTCAACAACTCCAGCAGGTACTTTAGATACTTGTTGATTGGGGGGGGGGGCTGGGGGGGGGGGGGGGGGGCGGGGAGGTAGTAGTAGCTAGTACCTTACAAGACATTTTTGTGGCGGACCAATTTGCGACGACCGAAATTTTGGCGGTCCGAAAATATGGCGAAATTGAACAAAAACCGTCACATTTCGGACGTCACAGAAAATAAGGGTATTTTTCATCATTTTGTTTTCTGACACAAAGGAAATTCAAAATTTTCTAAAAATCGGTAAAATCATGTTGAAACAAAATGAAACTTATAAATCGATTTCTTTATCTTCCTCTAAGGGCCTAAGGGGTCCGGCTCGACTCTTTCAGTTTCACTTATTGAGTTTGGTATTAAATTGTTTATCTTGACTTAGTCTCTTATAAGACGTTTATGTTAGCACATAAATGTAATTTATTGTAAATTTAAAACGTATTACTTGACATTAAATTCATCATGGAATATTGTGTTTATTTGTCCCACCATCATATCACTAACTTTTCAAGAACAAAATAAATCGATGAAGCCACAATTATTGGAATAAGCTAAAAATAATGCGACGGATTCTATTACGACGACCGAAATATTGGCGGTCCGAAAATATGGCGAAATTTCGGGAAAACCGTCGCATTTCGTACGTTATGAAAATGTCTTGTAAGGTAGTACCCACTACAACGGGGGGGGGGGGGGGGGGGCGGTAGTGGTAGCTAGTAGTACCCACTACAACGGGGGGGGGGGGGGGGGGGGTAGTAGTAGCTAGTAGTACCCACTACAACCGAGCTGTATTCATTAATAAACTAATCATGTGTTTATTATCTCTGTCTCTGAAATTGTCATACAGTGAGTGTGACCAGTAGATATTGTGTAGTAGGGCGTCTCACAAGCCACCTATCTATCTCTCTCTCTACATGCTCCTGTACCAGCTCTACTCGTGTTAGAATGATTTTGATATCATCTCTGGGCTGTTGCTAACCTATTGCTAACCTGCTACTAGAGTTGTTGCTAACCTCTTGCTTCTGTTTTAGCTGTACGACAAAGTAGATGAAGTGTTTGAGAGGATAACGCAATTGCTAAGCAACCAACCAGAGTCTGTTCTGAGGTCACGTGTTGTACACATGCAGGAGATCATGAGCAAACTTCAGGTGCGTGATTTTAATATTCTTTATTTGCTTTTTATGTGGTTTTTATTTGGTTTTTGTCTCCGTATTCGTCGTTTGTGTATTGTGTCTGCTGTATTTCTAGTACCAGCGTATGTGTAATGTTAACACTGGTTTGTTTTGATGCGCTATAATTATATATTACTAATGCATGAGCTTTGCAACTTCATGATCATTGAGCACTCATAACAATGAAGTTATTATAACAAGCTAAATAGTGAATTTACCAAGCACTTACAGTTGCTATTAACAGCAAATGGTTCCGTGTGTTGTTGTCTCCGCTGTCTCCTCTGTCTCCTCTGTCTCCACTGTCTCCTCTGTCTCCACTGTCTCCACTGTCTCCTCTGTCTCCACTGTCTCCACTGTCTCCACTGTCTCCTCTGTCTCCACTGTCTCCACTGTCTCCACTGTCTCCACTGTCTCCTCTGTCCCCACTGTCTCCACTCTCCTCTGTCTCTACTGTCCCCACTGTCTCCACTGTCTCCTCTGTCTCCACTGTCTCCTCTGTCTCCACTGTTTCCACTGTCTCCTCTGTCTCCACTGTCTCCTCTGTCTCCACTGTCTCCACTGTCTCCTCTGTCTCCACTGTCTCCTCTGTCTCCACTGTCCCCACTGTCTCCACTGTCTCCTCTGTCTCCACTGTCTCCTCTGTCTCCACTGTCTCCACTGTCTCCTCTGTCTCCACTGTCTCCTCTGTCTCCGCTGTCTCCTCTGTCTCCACTGTCTCCTCTGTCTCCACTGTCTCCACTGTCTCCTCTGTCTCCACTGTATCCTCTGTCTCCACTGTCTCCTCTGTCTCCACTGTCTCCACTGTCTCCACTGTCTCCTCTGTCCTCTAATCTAATAAGATATGATCCTGTGATAAGTGGTGACTCAACAACTTGTTAATATCAGAGATTAACACCCCGTAACACAATACTTCAGACTCCACTATCCAGCTATGTAATTAAATCATAAAACCAGATTTGAATCGTACCACACTACCCATAACTACGACAACTCCTGTCCTTGAGTTGAACATGCTCTTTAAGCGGGTCCCTTTACAGTGTTAGTCTCAGAGTTAGAGTTGTGTTGTCAGGCTTTTGGTAGTTCGAGCGGTTTCCGTATCTGAGTTGAGGATAAAAGCCATAACTAAAGATACATCCGCTACAGTGCACAAAATTACAGACCCACTATCACTCCACATTTGATAGCTGTAACATTATTAAGTTATTAACATAAAGCACCCTGGATTATTTTCTTATCTTCCAGCAGAAAGCCACAGGTGGATACAGATCATGTAATAACGATGTTTCTGTCTGGTTCATATCTAGTAGTAGTAGTAGTAGTGTACGGTCCATTACTTAACTTATTATAATGTACAACAGGTGGTCCCTATCATTATGTTCCAACATGTCATTTCAAGTGGGCGTTACAGGTGGTCCCTATCATTATGTTCCAACATGTCATTACAAGTGGGCGTTACAGGTGGTCCCTATCATTATGTTCCAACATGTCATTACAAGTGGGCGTTGTCAGAGCGTGTTGTTAGAGAGTGTCTTTCTCTTCTCAAACATCTTATTCTCCTCTTTCACGTGACTTATAAAATATTGGCAGTATTTCATTGTACAGATATAGTGGGGGGCGATATAGTCTGGAAACATAACTGATTTAGATTATAATTTAATCAGATTGCGTTGATTAAAGGGTAAGAGTCTAGTAAAATAACTGATTATTGTATCGAGCATTGCTTGCTGGTTATATCAATTAAATAACCATTTATAGATTTTATTTTAAGAACTCTAAACATTATTCTTATTTCCTCGTCCAGATTAAAGCTTGTTACCTTATTTTACCACTATTTAATTAATGGTTGTCTCCACTGTCTCCACTGTCCAGATTAAAGCTTGTTACCTTATTTTACCACTATTTAATTAATGGTTGTCTCCACTGTCTCCACTGTCCAGATTAAAGCTTGTTACCTTATTTTACCACTATTTAATTAATGGTTGTCTCCACTGTCTCCACTGTCCAGATTAAAGCTTGTTACCTTATTTTACCACTATTTAATTAATGGTTGTCTCCACTGTCTCCACTGTCCAGATTAAAGCTTGTTACCTTATTTTACCACTATTTAATTAATGGTTGTCTCCACTGTCTCCACTGTCCAGATTAAAGCTTGTTACCTTATTTTACCACTATTTAATTAATGGTTGAATTCTGTCTGGAAGCTCATTCGGAGCGCTCTCAAATATATACTAGTTTAATATACTGGTTTAATATACTTGTTTAATTTGGACATGTTTTGCAGGGAAACTATGAATATTTCCACGAGTTTCATTTAATTTACGACTTTTGAGATTTGCAGTAAATACCAGTTTATAAATATATTTACATAATATATACACATGATACAGACGATCCTTATAAATAATGGTGGAGTGACCGGGCTGGTTAGAGAAATGTGATTATACATTTTAATAACTCACTATGTCAGCTATAAAGTTATGTAATGTTCATTAGCTGTAGAGCGTGTATTATAACAAGTCCCCTACCTACATACCAAATCACCCGCAAAATCAAATTAAACCACTTCCCCGCTTCTCGACTCGCGCTGCTGTTAATATAATATATCAGACTGTTTAACCATTTCAAGACGTCCTGACAGTATTGGGAAGAGGTTCTCTGCAGCTATTTCCCCTCTTATTTGGTGCTTTAATTTGTTGCGTTTATTAGCTGGTATCTACCGTTATACAGATTGTATTGTCCACGCCATTCTCACTAACATCCCGCACTAGTGACGGAGATGCCTGGTTAACTGGTATTATACATTACACGTGCTCAGGTAGTGGTCATTACATACCAGGTAGCGGTATAACGTGCTCATTACATAGTATTTTAAACTGCCCCAACTGTCTCCTAACAATCACTCTATCAACCAAGTTTCTGTTCCTACTTTTTAACTCCCCGAACGAGTTTACGACTCGGGAAACCATTTACTCTGTTTTCGTATGAATTTTACAATTCGATTCATTTAAACAAAGCAAATGTAATGTCCTATTTACGATTGATTTAATGAGGCAACTATGTAATTGGAAAAATTCAACAGATACAAATAAAATTTAAATCAACTCTCTTAAACGAGGAAGTCACAGGAGGAAACATCTTTTAAGACTGTTGGAGATCTTTTGAGTTTTGCGATCTTTAGACGTTGAAGATCTTTTGAGTTTTGATAATATTGTGATATTAGACGTTGAATGATTATGAAGTTTAGAGGGAACTCGATTACAAGATATGTACCACTACAATTAGTGCCATACGGTTCCTTTAGCAACGCGGTGTTCACTTAGCAACGCAGTGTTCACTGATTTATATTGAGTTGTGTGGCGTTTATGTGTGAGAATGTTATTTATCTTCTTTCCTTTCTCTCCAGGATGGCTAAAATTAACCAATCTTCTAGTCTGAACCAGTTCATATTCTAATGAATGATCCACACATATTGTGTGGTGTTGGTGGCCACACGTTATGTAATATTTTATCAAATATTCCGACTTTCGCTTTCAGTTCATTATCGGCACGGTTTTCCATTTAAATACGAACATGACATGTTGATGACGTTGCAAAATTATTTGAGGAGTCCTAACTCTCCTCACGTCCTGAAATGGCGTTTCTCTTGTCTCACATATCTTTAGTTCTGATCTGTAAACTTGTTTATAGTTGCCTTCTAATTAAGAGGTAGATATCTTTACTTGCAGATATCGAACACTGCCAAAATTACAGTTAGTGGTTATCATTTCAAACCGGGCAACATTCCTCGCATATTTGAAGCAGCTGACCTCAAGAGGAATTAATTCAGATACAAGAACTTAGATCAGTATCTGTTGTTGCTTGGTACAGCCGCTTATCACTAAACAATAATCTGTAAACTTGAAACTTGACCTTTATTCCTTAGTATCGAGAGTTTGTCGTTGTAATCTCTAGATATTGTTATATTTTGTAGATATGTTCAATTCTCATCATGTCATGTGTCTAGTAAAGTTTACCTATGAGAACTCCAAGTATCACTAAATTGTCACTAAATGGTCACTAAATGGTCACTAAATGGTCACTGTTGTCCCTCTTTCCTAAATTTAAGGTCTCATATCATGACACTGGTAAGCCACAAGGTATTGCCTTAAAAGCAGATATTACTGTCTTGTTTACCGGTGATTATAACGGAGGGCTCTCTGATGCTGTCAAACATTAGAGCTCCTTCCTAAAACTATTAACTTCTAAAATAACTACTGAACCTCTTCCTGTCAATCAGCTGGTTAATTTGTCAGCCCTCAGCACGCGAAGTTACCTTAAAATACAAAACATCTACTAGTTTACTGAATACTAAACCTTATTTTTGGTTATGTTCCAAATTACAAAACCTAAGATTTACAGTGGTCCTTGCAGAACCTAGGATTTACAGTGGTCCTTGCAGAACCTAAGATTTACAGTGGTCCTTGCAGAACCTAAGATTTACAGTGGTCCTTGCAAATGCTCTTCCCTCAGAACCTAAGAGAGCCCCCTCTGATACCACATGGAGCTGGAAAAGTAATTAAGAGATACACGTATATATAAGAGGAATGTGGTCCTATCTAACATGTGCTCTCAATTAAGTAATCTGTGTATTGGTGTGCACTTTGTAAGTGCTAGCTCTATTAGATAGGCGTTGTCATGACTACGCCGCTATTTCCATGACTACGCCCACAAATCTGGCATTAGACCACTCTACAGTCTACATGTTCATTTGTTTGAGGTGAAACATTGAGCGACTTAAGTATTTGTTCTTGGGTTAAATAAAGTAGCAGCCCAAGTTGCACCTTTTATATTGGTACCCAGTATCATAAAAGAAGTTACCATTTTTAGTAAGTTTGATATTAAATTGATTGCTGTTTAAAAGCCGCAGTTTATTGTGATTATGACGTCACGATTCCAGCTGCAGTCTTGGTACTGTCATTGGTTAGACACCTTATAAGCTTATTATATGAGCTCCTATGTTACAACATCGCGTAGTATTGATATCTGATGTCGCCTCTTCGGTTCAATGATTTTAATGCTGTCGTAGTGCGAGTTATTTGTTGTAAGTTTGTAAATTTCATTCATTCGGAAATGCATTAAATAAATGTTGAAGTTAGATTTTATTTAAATCTAAGTTATTAAAATATGGCGAATAAATTTGCTCTTACGTTGAATTATAGTGTCTGGTATAATTATTATTGTCAGTAAAAATCAATAACGCTAATAACGCTTATAACACAATAATACCTTGTGGTTATTTGTTAATTGCAGAGATATTTCACGATTTTTGGAAACATTCCTATACTTTTGAACATTTTATTCATAGACATTATGTAATTGTATTGCTCGAGCGCAAGCATGGCGCCGTTTTAGCACCAACGTCAGAAATCAACTTAGACCAACTGATTCCAATTAATACCACAATTAATGCCGCCGTTTGTTTCCTATAGACTACACCTGACGTCTGCATGTTTAAATTCGAATTATTACAGATTTACCAATGTTGTTCCAGAACGTCGTTTTATTTTCAGAGTTGCATGTTGCACTGTGTGTGTTAGCTAACACTACTATTGTCCGTCCAGGTCTATATTAGACTCCCATCATGTCTACAGTATGCTATTGTAGGGAGTGTGTACACGCCAGGTCCACAAAGCACCGCCTCCCCTTCACCGGACACAACATCTTCATCACTGGGAAGTTCCTCGACACCCCCAATATAATCCTCAACGACCGGTGTGATCTTGTAGCATCCCCCAAGATGTTGCCTCACTCCGTCTCCGACAACCTGCTCTCCAGTGCTAGGTTCTGCAACAGAAGATCCTCAGCTCCTCGCACTCCCTCCAAAGTATTGCGGAGGTCTGGTTCTATTGATCCTCCTGACATGATACTCAACGAGCGGCTTTCTCCAACCCCCTCTTTTTCGGGTCAGAGCGACAGATCTGCTACACAGATACTGTCCCACTCCCTCTCAGATAACCTCCTCTCCAGTCCTAAATACAGTAACAGAAGCTCCCCGCGTAGTCCCTTGTTGAGGAGGGCTGGATCTATCAGGAATAATAGAAACCTAAAGAACAGACATGTGGCATCACCTAACCGTTCATACGCGGATCACCAGAGTGAGAGGACTGCCGCCCTGAACCACTCTCTTTCAGATAACCTCCTCTCTAGCAGGAGATCCAGCCTCACAACACCACTGGAACAACACCACTACACCACATCACCACTGGGACGGGCCACTATCAGGACTAGCAGGACACTGGGGAGCTTGTCTAACGTGTCCTTATTAGGAGAAGTCAGGAACTGCGAGGGGAACAGACAGCCTCCTTCTTACCGTGCACCTCGCTCCTATTCCTCGCTCATTGTAATTACTCCGCTGTAATATATTTACCAGTTATTTCGTTTGCAACTTAGTGTTATTGGGATTCCTGCCATCAATGTTCATGTTCTTGTTCAATGTTCATGTCCTTGTATTTACATTTATGTTGTTTAATGTGACTTGTACAGTATGTGACCAACTTGTATTTACATTTCTGTTGTTTATTGTGACTTGTACAGTATGTGACCAACTTGTAGTATTTACTGTGAGTTAATACTACAACCTTTACAGGGTTTACACGAGGACATTAAGTCAAGCTGGAAAGATCGAGAACAGAAGCTAAACAAGGGTTTAGAGTTGAGAAAGTTCGAGCAAGGTATTAAGAACCTGTACCTCTGGATCAGTGACGAGGGAGAGGCCTTTATACGGTCACACAGACTATTCTCCACTTCATCAGCTAGTCTCACCGCTATATTCGCGGAGTTTAACAGTTTTCAGCGGCAAATGGGTACGTCTCCTGCAATGTATTCTCTCATTGCTCTTATTTTCATCTGCGATCAATAAACATTTCAAATTTGTTTGAATCCTAAGAGCAGAAGTTTTAACCCCATCTAACTTGGCAGCGGTGGAGCAATCCCGACTAATGGAGCTGGAAATGTCCTGCACTAGCCTCAAGGACTGCATTATATTTGATAATGGTGCTATAGATGCCAGGATGACAGCTGCTAGAAACTCATGGGATGTGTTTAATGACAAGTTTGGGTTGAGGAAGAAGCTGCTGCAGGTGGTAGTGGAGGATATTATACCTCCCATGGATCAGGTGGGTTAATAATACAAGATATATGCGAAGATATTGTGTGAATCATAAAAACATAAAATAATAAATAGGAACGCAATAATAATATAACTTGTAACAACAGTCAACAAATAAAATAAAGCTAAAACAAATGGCTGATAAGTAAAACAGCTTCAGTCCGAATACTTGCAATGTCTCCAAATTCCTCCCACTTTAATCATGAATTACATAAACTTCTCACAAACTGCAAATTCAAATAGACCCTGGTGACTGGTGACTGGTGACTGGTGACTGGTGACTGGTGACTGGTGACTGGTAACTGGTGACTGGTGACTGGTGACTGGTGACTGGTGACTGGTGACTGGTCACTGGTAACTGGTGACTGGTGACTGGTGACTGGTCACTGGTCACTGGTCACTGGTCACTGGTAACTGGTGACTGGTAACTGGTTATAAGCCACAACATGATCTCTGGCAAGTAAATGTCTTCTGGTTGCCACAGTCTCTGGAGTACCAATCTCCCGAAGCTCCGTCTATATAAACACATGTGTTATCTGTTACCGGATCTGGGGGGAGAGAGGGTGACATATTAGTTATAATATATGGGTGTGCAATATGTTCAAATTTGAAACTTGAAAACGTGTCTTTTTGAGGCGAATCCCTTGCTATATCTCCACCAAGTATTAAGGATATTGAAATTAAAGGTAGCACTAACATTGTAAGTTATTATACGCTGACTTCATATCATCTACCCAGACCCTCCCACCTGTAGGACCTATCTTTAGTCCTATCCAAGATATCACGTCCCCTGCTATCTCAGCTATAAACTCGTTCTCTGTGCTACTTTCTGGGAGAATGGTGGTAAGAGAGGATAGTTGATATATGTCCCTGATCTCTAGGTTAGGTAGCAAGTAGCAATATACCCCTAACTACTAATCTACTATCTGGAAGATGTAAGTAACCCTAGTAACCCTAGTAACCCTAGTAACCCTAGTAACCCTACCAATAGAGACCAGAGAGCTGTTCCTAGCCTCACAGAACCTCCTTGCTCGCTCCCAGGATAGCAGGGTCTGACTCTGGAGACTGTTGTAGTAACATTGGTAACCGTGTAACCTGGTGTACAAAGTTAGAGACTGTTGTAGTAACACTGGTAACCGTGTAACCTGGTGTACAAAGTTAGAGACTGTTGTAGTAACACTGGTAACCGTTTAACCTGGTGTACAAAGTTAGAGACTGTTGTAGTAACACTGGTAACCGTGTAACCTGGTGTACAAAGTTAGAGACTGTTGTAGTAACACTGGTAACCGTGTAACCTGGTGTACAAAGTTAGAACCTACACACAATGATACCCATCATCAAATATTAAAACTGCCCCTTTATATTATCTAGCGGTGGTTTTCAGCAAAATGAACTGAGATGACACTTATTTTGATGGTTTACAAAAAACAAACCTCCACCCCGTCTCCTGGTCCTCACACCAGGGTGAGGATATCTTGTGCAGCAGATCTGATCTATCACGTGACATCTCCACTTTAAGGGCCGCCACTTCCTCTGTTAGTCGGGCTATTTGCTGATCACGAGGATCCTGCGGTGCTAGAACTGGGACCTATATGGTTATTTAGTTACCAAATTAGCTTCTGAGGATCCTGCGGTGCTAAAACTGGGACCTATATGGTTATTTAGTTACCAAATTAGCTTCTGAGGATCCTGTGGTGCTAGAACTGGGACCTATATGGTTATTTAGTTACCAAATTAGCTTCTGAGGATCCTGTGGTGCTAGAACTGGGACCTATATGGTTATTTAGTTACCAAATTAGCTTGTGAGGATCCTGCGGTGCTAGAACAGGGACCTATATGGTTATTTAGTTACCAAATTAGCTTCTGAGGATCCTGCGGTGCTAGAACTGGGACCTATATGGTTATTTAGTTACCAAATTAGCTTGTGAGGATCCTGCGGTGCTAGAACAGGGACCTGTATGGTTATTTAGTTACCAAATAAGCTTCTGAGAAACTAAACTAGTTTTTTTTTTTTCAGCATCCTGTTTAAAATGCCAAATATCGGACCTGTTTGTGGATGTGGTGTGGTAAAGGTGTTACCTGGTGTTGTAAAGGTGTTACCTGGTGTTGTAAAGGTGTTACCTGTTTGTCGATGTAGACTTTAGTCCAGGTGTTGAGCTGGCACCTCAGGAAGTTTTGACTCACTGGGTCGTAGCAAAGTGCGCCTTCTGAGTCTCCTTCACACCTGACACAAACACAGAGACCGTTATTATCTCTGCTTTTAGTAGTTTTATAAGCTTATAATATGTTATAAACGTATGTTAACTTAAATAAAAATTAATATAACATCGTATTTAAGTAATACCTGGTGTTGTATCTAGGCAGGTAAACTGACATCAGCTCTCCTCTAACAGAATGTGGTTGTTGTTCAGTAACTGGGAGTTACTTTACTTAGTAAGGGATACACATACAATCGGGACTAGAATAATACCGTGGATTGAAAAGGTTCAAACATGTAAAGTATCAAATCATCAAATTCCCCCAAATAAACCTGTTGAATTGTTGAAAGTAAGAATAGATAGCAAAACTGGCAAACACAACGGTAACGGTGCCATATTCCCTAGTAACGGTAACGCTGGTAACGGTGCCATGTTCCCGGGTAACGGTGCCATGTTCCCTAGTTAGCGAAGAGAAGGTGAAGAAATTGTGCCAAAGCCTTCACTATAACATTCTCAAAGTCAATAAAAACAGAGAAAGTTGGAATAAACTAAAAAACTTGAGATCAGTTGTACAGCTAAGTTAATCTTAGAAGCAGAAATTGCAAAAGCAAAAGCTTATGATCTCATCTGCTCTGAATCATGACTCATCTAAATGTGTTGAATATAGAGCAGAGGTCGCAGCCCGGCCCAAACAAGCATGCAAGATTGCAACAGACAGATTATACTATTACAAATGTAAACATAACGGATCATGTCATGTATCCAGGTATCTTGAATGTAAAATATTAAAAGCAATTATAATGTGTCCACATTGAAAACATTGACCTGGAAATGATAAGTGCATGGCCAGATATAATTAGTAGTATCAGTAGTATCAGTAGTATACTACTTCTATATAATGTGATTAGTTCTCAAATTAAGATAATTTAATAAATTATAATCTAGTTGCCTGGTTTAATCTACTGTGATCTAACGTTCCTCAAGAGTGTTAACGTACTATTAATAATTATTATTGTAGATTAGTTAATGTGCGATAGATGGTTAATCTGTTTCACAAAACAATAAATCAAACGACTGGAACGGTCCAGCTAAAAATGCTTGATAAAACGGAAATTCTACATTAGCTATGTATGGAAATTTGTAACAAAGGGGCAGCTGTCACTAAACAAAATCTAGTAAAAATCATTAATTAATTAATTACAGCAATCTATACGACACATTTGGAAGAGTTTCACAATGTGTGTAGCCATGGTGACGGGGCTGGTTGATTGGTTAATTTGCCACAATTCAGACTTTTCCTATGTTTGCACCCTTAACTTTGTCAAGTGATCTCAAGTTGTACGTAACGGTGCCATATTCCCCATATTCAGTGTCATATTTGTTATTTACCTGCTTTATTTTCAGTACCGGGAGAGGTTAAAGTATTGGAGAGGAGAATGCGAGAAGAACAAAGAGGAGCTCACTAATGTGCATATCTCTCTACTCAAAACTCTGCAAAGTCAGGTACAACAGCTAAATCATGTTAAATGTAATTAACAAGAGCAACACAAATAATAAACTGACAGTAACACAGATAAGTAACACAGATAAGACAAGGTGCAATTAGTAATAAGTCACTTTTTAATAACTTGCTTGAGAATATCAGAATATTTAAACAATTTAGCAGACATAAACACTGGGCAAGGTATGTTATTAAGATTTAAAGAAGGAACATGTTAACAAGGATAATAAACACTGAGCAAGGTATATTGTTAAGATAAGGAACATGTTAACAAGGATAATAGACACTGAGCAAGGAACATGTTAACAAGGATAATAAACACTGAGCAAGGTATATTGTTAAGATAAGGAACATGTTAACAAGGATAATAAACACTGAGCAAGGTATATTGTTAACAAGGATAATAAACACTGAGCAAGGTATATTGTTAAGATAAGGAACATGTTAACAAGGATAATAGACACTGGGCAAGGTATATTGTTAACAAGGATAATAAACACTGAGCAAGGTATATTGTTAACAAGGATAATAAACACTGAGCAAGGTATATTGTTAACAAGGATAATAAACACTGAGCAAGGTATATTGTTAACAAGGATAATAAACACTGAGCAAGGTATATTGTTAACAAGGATAATAAACACTGAGCAAGGTATATTGTTAACAAGGATAATAAACACTGAGCAAGGTATATTGTTAACAAGGATAATAAACACTGAGCAAGGTATATTGTTAAGATAAGCCACATGTTAACAAGGATAATAAACACTGAGCAAGGTATATTGTTAACAAGGATAATAAACACTGGGCAAGGTATATTGTTAACAAGGATAATAAACACTGAGCAAGGTATATTGTTAACAAGGATAATAAACACTGAGCAAGGTATGTTGTTAACAAGGATAATAAACACTGAGCAAGGTATATTGTTAAGATAAGGAACATGTTAACAAGGATAATAAACACTGAGCAAGGTATATTGTTAAGATAAGGAACATGTTAACAAGGATAATAAACACTGAGCAAGGAACATGTTAACAAGGATAATAAACACTGAGCAAGGTATATTGTTAAGATAAGGAACATGTTAACAAGGATAATAAACACTGAGCAAGGTATATTGTTAACAAGGATAATAAACACTGAGCAAGGTATATTGTTAAGATAAGGAACATGTTAACAAGGATAATAGACACTGGGCAAGGTATATTGTTAACAAGGATAATAAACACTGAGCAAGGTATATTGTTAACAAGGATGACGAAGTCAATGATCAGAGCTCAAACGAAACATAACACGTAGTGTACTAGGTAATCATATAAACGCGCGCTACTCCAGGGCAGCCTACTTGCCAGCCTTCTTGCCAGCCAAACAGGGAAATTTTACTTGTAATATTGAGGAGGTAAAGGCGCGGAACATTACTGTCACTACAGTTATCAAAAATCAATAGTTCCCACAGTCAGACAACGAATGAGTTTAAAAATTCCAACAAAATCTTTATAACATCATTGGTAAAACATTTTCGGACATCTTCAGTACCTAATAAAGATAAGGGTTAATACTCCAATTATATCAGAAAATTATAATTACAAAGTTTGCAACTTCTGAGAAATTGGAGTTTCATCTTTAGAATCTTTAATTGCTGATACGAGGAATATTCTGAAAAACTTTTCCGGAGGAAATGTGATTTGTAACTATGCACAGTAAGTCTTACCGTGTCAGGTATGTTGCAAAAGAACCGTAAGGGCGTAAGCAGTGGTGAATATGGGTGCAGAGCAGTGGAGTTAGGGAGTGTAAGGTTACCTGAGAATATTGTCTAGCAGTAGACCTGTCACCTGATGTATTGATTTAACCGTCCCTTGCGTAACCTATAAATATTGGCTGACAGCCAAACAAATAGTCCCGGTCACATGTTCTTCACCTTACCCAGATAGACTGACAGCCAAACGTACCTTTCATCACTTACTTAAAGTGGACCGAGATGTTCCTTCTACCACCTAAATTAAGATTCCTAAATTAAATATGGAATGTTTAATTTGCGTCATCACAGTTCTGGATTACATATTGACCCTGGTGAAGAAAGGAACTTAACCTAGAACTGCATAAAAATATCCATTTCCGGAACCTGAAAACCACGTCATGATAATTATAACTGGTGTATAACCTAGTGTTATAACTGGTTCATTAGTTTCCAGTTTAAGTAAAGTATCTCTCTAAATTCCCTCACGTGTTTTGTTGAATGTGACAAGGGGGGTCACTAGAGGTGGTGCCGCCTCCCTACCCATCAAGTCACTGCAATCCACTAAAATCATACCTGCTAATATATATCATACCTGCTAATGACTTGAAGTTCACTGAACATATATTATTGGACCCGTAATTCGGGAGTATCTTTCACTGCGCACCCTGTGGTGTGTAATCACGTGACTTGATCTCGTCTCTGATTGGTTGATCTTAATCACGTGCTGCCAGACACCCCCTCTGATTGGTCGCTCCTCCCTGACGCTACTTCTTCACAGAACTGCACCTAGCCCCGGGTAATTCTTCTGCTCCTAAGGTGTGTGGCGCGGATCTACTTGGCTTTCTAATTTAAATTTGTAGATTACATTGCCAGGAGAAATCTATAGATTTTGATATAGAAATCACGATAATTGATGTTTGCTTATCTGGTTTTAATTTAATTAACATTATCCACGCTCCAGTGGAAGTGGAAGTTTTAAATATTCCTCTCTAGAATATCTAGTGATTGCGGTTTGATAGTCGTGAAGAGTGTGACCCCTAATTGTGTCTAGTTCAGGCTGGTCAGCAAGCAACAGTTCGTGTTGTTGTGTTGCTCCGACCACAGTCTCACCACAACTTGTGGTTTTCTCTTTGGTCGGCCCCGTCTTGATCTCCACCTGCGTTAATTCCTTAGTTCTGTTTTGTGATACGCACTGAGTGCCACTTAATTGCTCATTTAATTGACGTGCTAGAGGTGCTAGTTCTGCAATGGTTGATGGTTGAGAATGTTGAGATCCTCTTTTTAACGTACGTGCTTTTCTGGACTGCTCGGTTTTGGAACTCTAGAAGCCCTCCACAAGTTTCTAGAATTTTCCAGGGTCGAGGTTGTTAAGAGATCTTCTGACGGTGAACTTTGTGCATAAAGATCACGAGCCTGCAGCCCAATAGTAAACTGTATTGGGTCCATTCTCAGATCGTTCATTTCTTCATTTAATTCTATTTACTAACTGTGTTCTCTAGCAACCCTAATACTTAATAGTTACCTCCTCGTCTAACAAATCATATCGTTTATAATGGTACCTGTAACTCTGATACTCCATCTCTGATACTCCATCTCCAGCTTCCTCTAGCCTCCTCTAGCCTATCTCTCGCTCGGAATAACGGCCACCGTCGCGACCATCATTTCACATATACTTCTGTCCTAAATCTTATCTTTTAATTTTTCTTCCATAATAATCTTTTGTGTCTACCCATGATTAAAGGCTGTAATTTTCATAATTTGACGCTGTAATTCTGACAAGTAATTATCCGTCAGACGAATAACTTCCAGTCATAACCGTAAATTTGTTGATATTGTTATGCTTGTAGAATGTAGAAGTTCGACAATGCAGATTGAAGTTTGGTGGCTCCTCCGTTTGACCAGATCATGAGATTGTGGTTGATAATGTATCACAGCTAAAGTGACTGTTGTAAGTCTGTGATAAAGCTGTGAGAATGTAATGGTGTGCCAGTAGTTCTCATTTCCACCTTCTTGTAATCTGGTCAACATGTTCCCGCTCCCCTTAGGATTTAGGAATGTTAGGTGTGTTTTGATAATGGTTAGAGGTGTGTAGACCTGCAGAGCGTGGGAGGAACTGGCCTTTACTTTTAATTGGTCTGGTTTTTATTGACCCGCCGTTTGTTGGTTAAATTTCATTGTTTTATTTCACTCTGTCGCTGATACTCTGGAAATCAAGTTTTCATTGGTTAGTTAAAACGTATTTATTTTCCAAAACTTTGAATCATTTGATAAAGGTGGAATTAATCGCACCGAATATTAAGATCCCGAGTGAGACTAATTGGATATCTCTACTTTAATGAAAGCCCCCCCCCCCCCCCCCCCCGCAAGATATTATCAGTCATATCTCTACTTTAATGAGAGCCCCCCCCCCCCCCCCCGCAAGATATTATCAGTCATATCTCTACTTTAATGAGAGCCCCCCCCCCCCCCCCCCCCACCCCCGCAAGATATTATCAGTCATATCTCTACTTTAATGAGATATTATCAGTCATGACATCTACTTACTTCTGTCTGACTTCCTTTATCTTGTGAAGGGTAATCACACTGTTTATCGCTATCTCTGAAGTGTCCTTGAACCGACCATGACGTAACCCTCTCTTCACAGGTCTGCCTCACAGGAACTACCATTTTCAGGGTGCCATTAAGCGGGAAGAGGAGGCACCCTTGCTACCCTTACCTTGCACCCTTGCTACCCTTAACTTGCACCCTTGCTACCCTTGCTACCCTTACCTTGCACCCTTGCCAGATCGCTCTTGATTAGCCCGCGCGTCTATTTAGGTATATTTTAAGTAGCCGGCCGGCGGCCACCTCTGACCCTCTAATATTGTTAGACCACCATGTTTCAATTTCATGTTTGCAACTCGGGGCCGACAGTATGAGTCTTCACGCTCCGTTTCGCAGCCTCATTTTCTTTCTTCAACTTTGAAATTACCGAATATTTTGACTCGAATCTTGGGATCACGGCTACTTCCTGAATTTGCCATGGTTTTTGCATGATTTTAGGATTAATTCTTAGGACTTTAAATATTCCTGGATTTCTTGTACCAGGTTATAAGCTTGTGGTCCTTAATCCCTCACTGGCCCTCAACTTTACTCACCCCGCCATATTCAACTACTTTTAAATTATATCCGCCTACTTTAAACATTATAACTGAGAGCTAGTGGCGGTGGAATCACATTATGTATGTTACATGTGTACCGTCTGAGAGCACATCGTCACAC